CTGCAATGGGCGAATAAGCATTCATATTTGAATTATGATACTCAAATATAACGAATCTTTATTCTCAAAATGTTACTCGCATATTTTTACGGCTCTTTAGAACATCACGTTTCTACACGCAGAGAATATCACAATTCCTTTTCACACAAAAGTTCTTTTCAATTTTACTATGTTTCTAGTAGCGCAGGAATAGACTGTCAGTGAGGTACATCTTAGGTATCTCTGAGGAACACAGTAAATTTCGCTAAAAATATAGCATTTTTTTTCATAGCATATTTCTTAAAATATAAGTAGCATATGAGATGAAAGGGTAGTCAATGATGACAGAATCGATCTATTCCTCGCTAACAAAATTCCCTAGTAATTTTTACTATAAAGGTCTCCGTGTAAATTTTCGTTATCTCAGATCTTGGACTTTATACGACTGAATTCTCATATATTCTCTCTATGTATTCTCTGACGAAAGCAAGATGGATCGCCGAGAGTCTTTCGCAAGTAAAACCTAAAAAAAATATCGCGACCTTTAGTCTGTATTATCGTTCAATTCGGCCAGTAAGGCGTAAAGCCATAGGTCTCGTGCACTATGGTAACATAATTGCTCATATCTATCGATAGACATAATACAGTGACAAAGTGTATGTTATCGCATCGCGTACTCCATGCTGAGCGATCGATCGCCGCAGTTGTAATGTAGCGTACGTACGTCAAGCTTGCTGACTAATTAATACTGAGGATTTCGCCGGATCGCCGTAGCGAACCAGGTCACCTTACCTCGTTCATTTTACAACAGTAGAACTCCTGTAAAAACGGGTGTTTCCTTAATGGGAGGTAAAAGTATGAGGGTAGATTTTCGTTAATAATTTCTCCGTTCTGAGCTATCCAATAAATGACGCGATGTTGCCGGGAAAAAAATGTCTCTTCCTATTAAGACCAATCTCTCTTAAAATGAACACTTACGATCAAACACTGTCGGTGTAAATAGGAGGGAATGGCAGAAGCTCTCGCGATTATTTGTCATTTCTATTTTCACACGAGAATTGGTATAAATAGACCACGGTCTTTATGTTCTTTGTTCAGTGCATACTCGAGATTCCGTCCAGGTAGATATTGGTCAATTTTCCTCGCTCGTTCACGCGCGACTGTGCCTGACTCGCGTTTTTTTCTGCGAATGTTCGTTTTAAGTAGTGGCGCCCCGACTGATGCTCTGTAAGACAAATCAACACGCAACACGGAATCTGATCTGCAGAGTTAGATTTGCCACGAACAGCCGTCGCTCGCTTTCACGATGCCAAATCCGGGTTTATAAATAGGGGGAGGGGTGCAAAGTTCCAAGAGTGCTTTATCATCCGGATCCTGGACCGACGTATAAAAATAGATGATCTCTCGACGGCGGCGGCGCTTTTATGCGCTGTAACGGTGTTTCCATCATCGGTTCGCTAAACGCATCGCGCCGGAACGGCATTTTCCGCCCGCGCGAGCCCGGATGGGTATCGCCAGACGTATTGCGAGATGCATTTCTGTTCTCTGGTTGTTACTCTCTCGGTCCGTTTCTCATACAAAACGTCCGCATTGCGAACAGTCGCTTTCGATTCGTTATTTACTCTTTCTCCCTCCTTTCTCCCCGAAGAAAGCTTCCCGGAAAAATGCACTATGCAGAATGAGAAAACCGAAATTCTCTTCTTGCAATTATATTATATTATCGAGTTTGAAGCGAATATTCATTGAAGATGCAAGAGACGTTTTAATTCTGTCTGAGAAAAATTCGATTTGCTCAATGCAATTAAAAACCAAATAGTGACATTGATTGAAGAATGTCATATTACTTTTTATATTTCTCTTATATCTATTGTTTTCAAGCAATGACGATGGAAAATATTCCAATAAAGTTTTGTGAATTCTCAGGGAAAGAAAAAGTTCCTAGCCCTTGCGAAAAATTCACATAAAACATTATTAAAACTTTCTATAGTTGCTTTCAAGATATCTTTTATATGTGAGTTTGAACTTTCACTTGAGCTTTTCCGTGTCAAAATGTCAATGACCTTTCATAAAATTCACATGTCTCCCTCCCCACACCCAGAGCTACGTACACTTTCACGTAACACTCGATTTGACGGTTCGTTCACGAGGAAGCAAGTCCAAAGAAGAAGCGTGAAAAAGCGCGACGACGCGATCGAGGGCGAAGTGCTTGATTCAGGGCGCCGTTTGCTCGGAAGACGTGCGTCCCCTTTGATCCCTTTAATTCGCGATAAACGTCCACCGCAATCTCGCGGTACGATCGGTCTTTCTTTCCGGTTGGCCATTCTCCTTCCGGCGTTTGGCCAGGCGGAATCGTATTCGCGGGCTCGCATTGTGCGAGCTTTTGAACCGCGCTCGTTTTTCCAGCTCGTCGAATACGCGCGAAAACGTCCCGCGGAAATAGAAAACGAGAAGACCGGCGGAACAGGAAATTTATAGCTCTCCTTTCAGCCGACTCTGTGCATCGGATGTGGATCGGGTAGAAAGCTCCGGCCTCCCCGTGCGACGGAGATACTGTAGGTAATAGACATCGTTTCTCTAGGATGAAAGTCTGATTAGATTTCGGAAGTGCGGAGCAACATGATACACTGAAATAACTCGCGCAAAATTCATGCGAAATAAGGAAATAGAGAGAAAACGTAGCGGGACGTTAGTTCATGTCGACTATCCGCGGAGAACCAATTGCAAGTAAAGAGGAGAAACAATTCAAAAAAGAACATTAAGTTCTTTAGAGAAAGTTCTTTAGAGAACGCAGTGGATTGAATACTATAGGATTAATGTAATGAAGCGGCCGACTCAATCGCCAGAGCTAAATCCAATCAAGGCTCCGCGGATCGATGAGGAAAAGGCCTGCTGGGTAAAGGGTAGACAGCAGGGAGGAAAACCGGCCTCTAGCCTGCAATTGAGAATAGGCAATTGCGAGTGTATTCTATCGGTTCGTTGCGCACAAACGCCTAGTCAAAGCTTTATACGGAGCGTCTGACGACCAATAGCGCTCTCTCCCAGTTTGTTGATGCACTGCGAATCAAAATGATGTCTCACGTGCTCTACGTTTTATAAATATCCTCCTCGCACTCGTGGAACTAACTCGGAGAAATACTGGGCTACGCCTGTGTTAGTTTTATTGTGCATTTAGCGGATTATGCGTCGCAGTGCTGTATGAAAAATGCATCGCTCAATCCAATATTTCTCAAAAATTCCGGTATTGAATTCTGAATTTTCAATGAGAAAAGTTTCATACTCATGAAAAATTACGCATTCATAAAAAATTGCAACTCTTTTGCAGGTCAGCGAGAAAATACAAATTTTGGAGTAATTGCTAAAAGTTTCCCATGTGATCAAGGAGGATAATTTTGTTATGACTTATCGATCTTTATCTCCATTCCAAAGAATGATTTTGATCGGTTTAATTTTTCGAGGAAACGCGAATATCGAGAATGGAACGGTCGTTATCTCACGGAAAAATAAAGTGCAAAGTGCTCTTACTACGGCAAGAACCGCGGCAAGAGCTCGAACGCTATTTGTCAATTTCCACTTGCAGGTCACCAAAAAAAGGACGTGAGGAAGAAAACGACCAATGATTTATTTCAGAAATGCACGCAAAGCCGCGTTCTCTTGCGAAGGGATTCCCGAGCGTTTCGTTCGTAATCGCTTTTTCCTTCAGTGTCTTTACTTGTTTTTGTAAAAGCCTAATTAATGGTTTCGACACATTCATGCATACCCTCGCATATGCACACGTAGAACTAATAACATATTAAATATTATTAATGATAACGTTATATGTGCGCAAGTTTAATTAATTTAATTATTGTAACTATAAAAGTAGATCTCATCGGTTAATCCTTTCAAAGAAATCGCATTCTATATAAATTCCCCTACTTTTACATGATTGGGAGTGTATTGCTCTCTCTTTCTTTCTCTCTTCTCGTTTGATGTCTGTAAAATTCCAGAACTTAATAGAGCTTCCCTGCGCAAGACCACCGGTCGTTATTTCGCGGAGAAGAGTAAAGGATAAAAGGGAGAAGGACACTGAGAGTCGAGCGAACCAATGATCAATCGGAATTAAAGTCTGTCTGTGGTAGTGTTCCCGGAGGGTTCGATATATCGATCTTCATTCTCCGTCACCCGGAGGACAGGCTGGATAGAGTAAAAAGGCGAGCACACTTGACGTCCAATGAGCCATAACATAAATCGAACAAATGTAAAAATCGATCCATAATACGAACGTATACTACGTGCTAAAATGTCGTTGAACCTTCCCCTCCCTTTTCTTTTTTTAAATTATCGCAGTCTCAACTTGCAATCGACTCGTCACGTGGCAATCTCCACTTTGCCGTTCGTCCCTTCTAAAGATTTCCTTCCGTACTTTAAATGCAAATGAAAATACGGAGGATAATTTAGAGGAAATATTGCTTATGCAAATTTCGGAACATCTTGTGTATTTCATTTCCACGTAAAATTTTGCGACGGGAAATCTGGGTGACAAATTAAAACTCAGAATCAAGTAATTGAATATCGAAACCGTCATTTAGTTAAATTCGCCTAAAATGACGTTTCATTTCATCGGAGTATATTCACGGACGTTAACCGTTAATTAACCCGCCGTCGCTCTTATTTCTGAGTTCTTTGTTTATTAATACCGGTGTCCGAGGTGAAATATTTAATGACCCGCGGACGAAATTCAATCGCTACCGCTAGTGCTTTATTTATGGCCGAATCGATATCGGCTCGCAATTTTACGGACCTGGTTAAACTATTTAAGGTAGTCGTTCGGCTAAGGAGCTGCTGCACAAAATATAACGTGAAATCATAATACTGCACGTATGATATTACATCACAAAATGAACGATAAACATCCGATAAACATCCGACGATGACGGAGATACGAAGGAAGAATTCGAGAGAACTCGAGAAATGAAAATCTCAAGATCTGAGAATTCAAGCGTTTCCCTTATCTAAGAAATATAAGTTATATATTTTGTACATGTAAAGTTTAATTCGCTGGAATTTTAAAAATTTCACGTTCCATCGAGAATATGATACTCTAAGGATTCTCGTGTCGTATAATCTGAAAATCTCTTACAAAGAGATCGTCATGTTTCAGTAATGTTGCATCTTGGGAAAAGTTCTTTAATCACCTGTGAAACATTTATGATTCCAGCACTGAGACGAACGAGATTTTCCATGGCCTTTACTGACTTGGAGAGGGAGAGGAAGGGAGAGGAAGAGAGAGAAGACATTTCGTGTGAGTACATCATTACCATCAAATATTTCTTTCACATGGAAACTAAACAAATGCATGGAAAATGACGAAATCTCCGTAAAATCGTATCTATTATGGTATATATACTCAGCATAACTGTTTCGGATTATATCGTATTTTTCAAATATAATCAATATATGATAATTATTGTGAGACGTATAAACAATTCGATGGCCGTATAATATACATATAAGAGCTATCCATATATGCAAAATAAATGTTTAATCAGCGTCATTCTCGATATAATTAATGATTTATATCATTTATAATTTAATAATTCGTAACATATATCGTCTCATTATTGGTAACATTTACGCGAAGTATTCATATTTATCATTCTTACTCCTTTCGTGTTGTTTAACGATCTTTACTCCATGACGTATTGAAAAAATTTCGAATTTTAGACTTTCACGGAATATTAACATTTCAGCTACAACTAGATGCTCTCTTTTTCTCTTTTTTCCTCGCTTCTCGAATCAGTCGCCAAGGAGGCGTTTTGAATATCTCGTGTACTCAAGCACTCATTCGTCTTTCTCTTGTTTCCTCTCACGAGAGTTAACCTCTCATGAGAGAGTATCTGAGGTCGAGTGTCGAAAGTGAGCGCTCTAGTGCTCGTCAGCATGCAATGCTTTAACACATATTGACAGTCACACGTTTGAAACGTAACACCAAGAACATGTCGATTAATCGTGAAGTAACGATGGATCCGTTGGATGCATCTAGAGATACCGTTGATACCGAGATATACCTTTCCTAAAATATCGACACCTAAATGCTTCCACATGTAATATATCATTTAATGTATCAATTAAATATCGTGCATTTCCAAATGACCGTTCGCGAAAGATTGTTGACGCATTCTCGTCGAGAACTTGAGGCACTTGTATTTACTTTGATTTAGATAGAAATTGAAACACGATTTAATATGAAATATAACGTGATAGTACCGAAAATATTTACTGTCAGTATTATGTGTCATGTGTAAATACTTTAATGACGGCGACGTAGACATCGCGGGTAGTGCCAATTTGTATTTCTGTCCCGGAATGGACTCGATTAATAAACGAGGATAAATCAATACGGCGTGAGTCGAGCTGATTCGCAGGGCACACGTTCGTTTAGTTTTCGACGAACAATCAAGCTGCCGAGAATCAGAGCTGAAATTGCATCGCGCTCCTGCGAAAAATGCGTGAGGGCTTTTTAGCGAGGAAGAGCTTCATTTCGGTGACTTTCATTATAAAAGTCTCATTCGTTGTCATTCGCATTCTCGTTTCCCTTCTTATTAATTCTATAATATTTTAGTATTATTCCAAATATCAATATGAAGCATTTTATTCCGAATTATTATTCCGAATTATTTTATTCCGAATGAAAAATATTTTTCTGATATATAACACGAAAATATTGAAATATTTATTCGTGTGAAAGCTTGTTCGAGTAAAAAACACGCAGAGTTAACTGAAGAACAATTTTGCAGTCTTATTAGTTTCTCAGAATCTCCATTATTAAGCCCTCAATTTTTCATTCATTTGTGTGATACAAAACATTACAGATATATTATCGCTATTAATCGCAATTTTTCTTTGGGTTTTATGCTGTAGTGTCTACTAGTACACACCGTACCGATGCCCTTGGCACATGGAATAAAGGCGCCTACGTAACATCGATATTCTGAAAATACCGATAATTGATTGTGGAATGTCTGCGTATGTTCACTTTACCCGTCCCATACATTACCGATATTTTCCTAATCGCCTTGGCGGTAAGATGTCTATTTCTTCGATGCTCAACGCGACCCGAAAGTATCGATATTCACCATCCTCGCGGCGAGAGATTTGCTCATTCTACGTATTTTCTGTCATCTCCATGATTTATGAGTTCTAACAACGTTTGCTCTATGCTCGCATCTATAATTAGAGTGCGAGAGTTTGAATCATTTATACTGGACAGCAGGGTCAGACGATACTAAATGCTGAAAAAGTTATCTCATTACGGAGCGACCGATCGATCATCGACCCGATTCCTCGTGGAAGCCGCGAGTCCGCCTCGGGAAACGACAAAAATCAGAAAAGCAGTTCCCAACCGATCAATATGACCGAAATACTTTGGCCTATTACGCGTTTAGATTGATTCCTCGTATTCTCATATGAGACTTGATCGTTATTGCTAAGCCTTTATCAATCCCGAGATCTGACTTCTCATACTTGTCATTTGCAAAACTGCTGTGCCGAACAAATTTCACTTTGAACGGAGACATTTTTGGAATCATTATCATGGTTAATTTTAGAAGTTAGCTGGATTTAATGTAAAGGTATCATTGATACATACATTTACAAATTTAATGTATTACCATTATATTATACAGTCGCGTACAACATTTCCTAGCTTTGTGAAGATTTATTTATACAAAAGACAAGGAATTCTTAATCTGTTCTTTATAATCGCAAAGGAGGAGTAGAGTGAGTTGACAACAATCGTGTTGGAGCTATCCATTGTTAAATTTAATATTATGTTAATTCTAACCGAGAAAATATATTACCTAAACCGCGCGTACACAGTTTAAAAAAGTTAAAAAGGAGAAAACTGCGAGGACAACTGTATTGCCAGATTTAAATCTAAGTTGAGATTAATGCGTCCATCCAACTTAAGCCCGGTTGAATGAAAGCAGGGTGGAATTTTCGCTGGCGTGACATCGTGCAGAATTTATCCAGGAAAAATATCTTGCGTAACACTTCTCCCTCCCTCTTTTTTACACATTTCAGAATGAACGTTTCTGCATACAAACCTCGCATAAGGATACTTTATATAGGTCGCCGGTTTGGATAAATAATAAAAACCAACAGTATCTTGACCCGAAAACGTCATGTCTCGCGTATAATTTTATAAAGCCGGTCTGTCGGAATTTCACGCAAGCTTGCCGCTGAGGAGCAATAAATTTCACGCCTAACGGAACTTGTACCAGTTCCCATGTGCATCCGAAATTTCATACTGCGTATCTGTAACCGTGCATTATTCAATTTATGTCCCGCACACGAGATAACAGTGCGCTCCCCATTATCACGGAGTTACAAATTTCAAACCATCGTTCGCAGCTCGATAAATATAAATCAAGGTAATCCACCAGCTAGCACAGAGTCATTCCGATGGATTGGATGGGATCTCACGGAGATGTTCGAAGATCTGGCTCAACTCCTTTCAAAGTTCAAAGTCGTCAAGGCGACGTTCTCAAACGCGACATTTCCCACGGAAAAATGAAATTATACCCCCACCCGTCGTCTCGATCAGTTACATCGCTGCGTTTACCTCAACGGCGCGACCGCAATCAGCAATTTAATTAAAGTATGCAATCAAGATAGAGACATCTCGGGGACCCGGAGGAATGCTGAAGAACTTGGCAAGAAGTTCCGCATCGACTGCGCCGAACACAAAAACCGATCGCGTTAGTTAGACGGAGGAAATTTCCTGGAGATCTAATCGAACCCCACGGAGGCTTTTTCCGGAACCAGTTGCGGCCTCCCTTCTCCGCAGGTCGTCCCGGGGAATCGATAAAATTATCGACACGCTAGAGAGCCCCCCGTAGTGGTGTCCGGACTTTTCCTACACCTAACTGCCCTTTCTTCGCGAGCGCGTCTGTGTATTTCTCTCCGTAGGTGTGAGCGACAGCGCGCTGCATTTTTACTTATTCATACGCCATTGTACGTGCGGAGGAAATCTCTACGACTCTGCTGCCGTCTATTCGACAGTCGTGCGTGTTTGCATATTACGACCAATCGTGACGTGCGTCGCGACTTAAATATTTCCGAGCATCTTTCCGGCTTTCACGAAATAAGTACATATGTATAGAACGCCCGAGTTGCCTGCAACACCTCCGCGCGCGCCGTTTACCCGAAATTAAACGAGTTCCCGAGCACATCGACGTTCCCTTCGTGAATTCGCTAAGACCATAGTCTATCCGCTAATAATAACTTTGCTCGTGAGCTCGTCGAGGACGACGGCAACGCGCTGAGGCAGTCTGCCTCGCCGCGTCGCCGGCGAATAATTCGTAGAAATATCGACAAGAGAGCGTTTGGTCGCGCGATCGTACGAGACAAAACCTCATGTGTGAATATCAATGTATTGTAATAACGATAGAGCGACCGAGGTCAGAACAATTGCGCGTGCGACATTGAATGCTCGCCTGTTAACGTCGGCACAAACGTATGGCGAAGGGGGTTAACGTCGTTACAACGTAACGACGCACTTCGCTCGCGTTAACGTCCCCGGGTGGCCGCGTGCGCTCGCGTAAAAGCTCGCTAATAAACGACGGATCAGATAAAAGCTCGATCGATAGAATAAACGCCGATCGCGCGCGCGACGAGCCTGCCCGACTATTTTTTCAACCGTACCGGAGCAAGGCGAGACGAAACAACGCAACCATCGGGGCCAGCAGGGAGAACTATGCTGGCGGGGAAGAGATGGAAGGAGAAAGCAAGAGAGAGAGAGAGAGAGAGAGAAAGGGTAAAATAATTCAGCGGGAGAAAGAGCAATTGTCGGGCGGCGTGAGATAAAAACAAAGTAAACATCGAGTGTCGAATTTCCGTGCGAGGGATTGCGGAAACGAAGGGCGAGAACGGAGGGAAAACATGTGTATTTCATGATGAAGCACCCCTGGCGACCCTCCGTCCCTCCCCCCCTCCCCCGCTGCTTTCATCATATACGCGGCGATATTATCGACGGGTGAAAACGCATAAGCGAGCTCGAACGATGGACGACCGGCGCTTTCCGGCGCTCGAACGAGTCTGATTGTTTATTCAAGAGCGATGATTGGCTCATCAGCAGCCGGCAGTCTAAGGCAAATGAGCTGTTAAAGACCGGAGAAGCGTGAAAATCACTGTTATTTTATGCGACGCGTTTACAAAGACTATCCGATGGATTTGATGCGATTGCGGGATGACGGTAACGAATTAATCGAGCGTATTTGAAGTCTTCTTAAGATTGCGCAC